AATCCATCGCACTTACCAACACACACACACACACACACACACACACACACACACACACACACACACACACACACACACACACACACACACACAGATGCAGAGTAAATATTACAGAGTCAATGTTCTTTATACGGGTACTAAACGCAAGTATTGAAGCTGGCCGTCGTAACGGTCGCAGTCAATTAAATAAAAAACGACCGGCCATTATTAGTTAGACAGCAGCACTCTTCTCCTGGTAGTCGAACACTTGTAGGAGAAAACCGTGCCTGCGCAATGACCCAAATGGTTGGAACGGGGAAGAATGCAGGGGGCTTCAAAAGAACTCCAAGTCTCCGGTGCTGGATGCCGCTCAAACGTACACTTCAAGCGCGCAGCAGCCGTTGTGCGGGTTCAGTCCAAAAGAGTGCACATAATGACACTGGGAACAGTGGGAAGTCGAAGAGCGTCAACAGGAGAGAGAGGACAAACTTCGGACAAAGTGGTAAATCGGAGAAAATAGTAGAATTTCCACAATATTTCCAATAATGTCCCTGACCTCTTTGAGCCGCGGCCGCTCTCTTTTGTGCAACTCCCTCGGGTTACTTTGTCGATGCATGGTTGATTGTGTTGTGTGCTCTCACATGATTGGTGACTTTTTTTTTTTGTGTTTTTTTTAAACTGTTTTGTTTTTCAGTTTTTTTTTTTTTTTTTTTTTTTTTTTTTTTTTTTTTTCCTCCCTGATTGGTAACATTTTGACGTGGGTCTCATTTAGTCTTTTTTTTTTTTTGAATTGATTTATGCGTCTCATCCTTGCGCGCATTCGCCATGTTAATTATCTTTGTATTGTTCCAATTGTAACTCAGACATTGTAGGCGTGCCATTATGCCATCTCTGTCATCTGTCATCCTTAAAGGACTCGTTTAGTCGTTGAAAGGTCTTACGACAATGGCTTTTCCCAACAATCTCTTTCGCAAAAGAGAAGAGAAGATCGCTTTTCCCAACGATCTCTTTCGCGAAAGAGAAGAGAAGATCGCTTTTCCCAACAATCTCTTTCGCAAAAGAGAAGAGAAGATCGCCCCCTCCCCCTCCCCGCAAAAGAGGATGTCTTTCGAAGGGTCCTTCTCTTTTGCCACCTTTGTTCTTGTTTGGCGAAATTGGCGCTAAACGGGGCAAACCGTGTTCAACTTCTTGTACCTCAAGAAATCAAGTAGTAAACACAAAGGACAGAAACGTCCAGAAAGAAAATACCGAGACGCACAAAACTGAGTCAGATAAATAATATTATGTCAGCCATCATACCATTTCGAAAATACGCCCAAAAAAAGACCTCCGCACAAAGGGTAAGGGTTGATTCTGTTGAACGGAGTACCCTGCTTGCTCAAGGTAACTGGTGCTGGATGCAGAGACGAACAAACGTTAAGGGTTGATTCTGTTGAACGGAATGC